TTTTTTTTGTGTACTTAGGTAATGTTAGGTCTGATTAAATGATCCTTCTAACTATTCAACATCGGATATCAAAAAGCAATATGATAATAATGAATTTTACAAGTAAATTTGGATGAATGCTTGTTCGATTCCTAATTCAATTGATAGAGATGTGTGTATAACACAGGTCCTGGAATCGGATACAAGAGGTATCCAAATATTTGCATTTTGGAAATGTACCTTTTAACTAGATTATTTGGTGTTATTTTAGTTTTACAGTAATGACAAAAAAATGTTTCAAAAGATAACAGTACCATCTGAACCAACTTGAAGTCATTTGATGTTGATATAAATGATGTATGCCAATTGTACCTAAAAAATATAGTAGTATGAGAAAATATTTGAAGAACGATTCCAGCAATGATTGGAATATTATTCCAGTGCGAAGACAAAGGGTGCGAGAGAGAATGGATTGGTTTTTAATTATGACGATCGGATTTTGGTATGAGGTTAATGTTTGATCAAATCAAGCTGTTAATTATTGATACATTGTAGAGAATGTAATTTATTTTTCGCGAACGCAGCATACGAAATAAAGTATTAAGTACGTATATGATAACGAAGTGCAAATAATAACTACAGAGACTAAAGTACGAATAAATATTTAATAATATGTAAAATGTATGTGACGTATGGGTGAGATCATTTACGCACGGTATTTTCGAGTTCCAGATCCTTCCATATTTAACTAGAAATAGTTTGAAAGGTGAATAAAGTTTACAAAATAAAACAAAACAATATAAATAATAATAATATAATAAATAATATTAAATATAATAATAATATAATAATAATAATAATATAATAATCAATAATATAATAATAATAATAATAATATAATAATAATAATATAATAATAATGGAAGAACAATCACTGCTCTGGAAGCTGATGAGCTCTACAAATACTGGGATTCAGCAAGGAAATTGATTGGCACATCATCACGAAGGGATATCTTAAACGAGCGTACCCAAACGACTCAAGTCAGTGTTAAAATTCCTCACTCCCGAAACCTAACGGCTGCATTAACATCGTATGCTTACCATTATCATCCTTCTCGATGGGTATTCTTAAATTGGTCACAACGACTAGAGGAATTGAGAGACTCTGTAAGAGTTCAAATGACAACGTTAGGTTGTCACCATCTAAATAGTGCGATGAAAAGAGGGTCACACTGCTTGAAAATCGGGAGGGGCGTGGTATTGTGAAGTTCACGAATCTCATGCCAAAACAGATAGTACCTGAGGAAGTATTTTGCAGAAAAGGCAGGCAACTTCTCTACTTCCACAAGGTACTTGTGCCGGCAGATGAAACAATTACACGCCCTCAAACTAAACAAGATATGCAAGTTAATCAGCTCTCTTTGCAGCAAGAGAGCGATTCCTGGAAACAGAAAGCACTCACGCGGTGCATATCCCTGCTGCAGTAGCCAATCCAAATGTGACCAAGAAATGTTCGTACAAATGGTCAGTATAGGATATTGATCCTGAGAGGAAGTTTCATGATAGCAAATAAGATCAGGTGATTCCCACAAATAATTACTAAAATATCTCATAAAGACAGGAGTATAACTGTGAATGTCGATGTGTGTCGAGATCATGAAACCATTCGGGCCATATTATCAGGCTGTAGCTGTCTTAGCTCCCACTGACTATAAAGTGAGACACGATCAGTTTGAGCCTATCTCCATTCCAAACTAGCTAAAAAGGCGGGACCTGCAGAAAGTGGAGGCACCCTACTACAAGTATCATCCAGAAGCGGTCTAGAAAACTGAGACACATAAGTTATAACTGGAACCGCAGATATTCTGACAGACAGGACATTAGCCACCGACCTGATATTACTTTTGGACACATTCAACAGAAAAGTCTGGTTTTATTTTATGTTGCACGCGTCAATTACAGCAAACTGATGGACAACATACGAGACTAAAATCGGACAAATACAGAGAATTAGTTATTTGCGTAAAAAGGACAATGGGCGATGTCAGAGAGTGGAAAACTATCCAATTGTACATTAGCAATCTGGCGTGATCCAAAAACTCTCTGCAGATCGCTGGAAGAACTCTCCTTGAGAAGAGCATTGTCATCGGCCTCCAGAAGTCTGTTATAATAGCACTGCTCACTAGTCAGGAGATTCATGGAGGACTGTTGGTTTTGAAGTCATTCTGAAGTTGTATTTGTTATTGCATTTGAAAACTGTTATTCTATGTTACAATCTGAAAACAGTTATTTTATGTTTTGTATTAGAATTGGCATTAAATTTGTTTGTAGATTTTAAATATCTCTGTCGTTCATGCTTTTGATATTGTTTGTGTGTATACATGTGGAAACCAAAATTTGAGAATAAACAAAATAATATAATAATACTAATAATAATATTAAATAATAATAATCATATAATATTAATAATAATAATTATATAATAATAAAATTTAGAAAAGCGAGATAACATTTTGCAAAACTAAACATTTTCGTTCCCGAGTTACAGACTTATTTTGCACGCCACCAGTAAACGAACTGCAAATTTGTTTTTTCTGCTTTACTAACTAAATACTTCTTCTCCACAAAAGAAGAATAATATTTATAAGAAAAAAACTATAGATGATTTTTAATTAAATGTAGCCAAATTTGAATTGGTAAATGAAACATCTGAACAATAAATCCATGACAGTTCTTACTCAATTTGAATTGGCGAGGTATGCTGCTTGAGTAATCGAAAGTAGTGCGCTAGGAGTTGTAAAGCCAGAAGCGTAGTGCAACGCAAAGATTTCTTCAGTTTGTTTCCATCAGTTTTTTTTTCTTAGCGTGAATAATAGTATTACGTTAAAACAAGCATGTGCCTCACCAGCCAAATGTGTGAATAAAACAAGTTTAAATTAGTACAGGCTCTTACAGGAAAACTTTCGCGGGTATAGGTTTTCTAAGATATTGAAAAAGTTGTACGGTGAAAGTACCTTTTTACTTTCGCGTATACATACGTACTCGTATATACGTATTTATAGGAGAAGAGGTTACTTTACAACGCACTGCCAGATGACATTAAACAATTGTAGTCGGTTCACAATTTTGAGTTAAAAGTAAAATATTTTCTGTTGCATAACTGTTTCTATACAATTAGAGACTATACTGATTATCAAAAAGAAAAATAATGTTTATTTTAACAAAACAGTGATATATAATAAATTAGTTTACATTTGTATTGTATATTTTTTTTAAATACTTAATATGTTTGTAACAAATAATGTACTTCAGCTCTCGGGTCAATGACCCCCATCTCGATCAGGTTTTTGTCCAGTTACCCTGATCCTTTGAGCAAATTCTGAGATGGCCCCTTGTTTTGCTTCTGAACATAAATGTAGCTTCACTTTGCGCACGTTTTGTTGAACTCTCCTTTTGCTTGTAATGGTAAGAGTAGAGGTAAGGGCGAGTTGCTATTTTGTTAGTAATGCAGAAAAATCATTCCTGGAGTTCATGTACCGATGCAAATAAATTTTCTATAACTCGAAAACGAAAATGTCTACTTTTTTAAATATTGCTAATCTCGCAATTTTTGAAAATTTGTTTCATTTTTTTAACTTTTACTCATCTTTTAACTATTTATACTTAAAATGATGGGAAGGGATTCTGGAACTCAAAACGTGTGCAGATAATCTTTTCCCCCATACGTCACATACAGTTTTTACTGTTTTTTTCTAAATAAATCTAAATATGGAATAATATACATAGTATAGTTTATGTAATGTTATGTAATGCTGCGCTAAAAAACGGCGTATTCTCAGCAGAAAAAAAATCATTGCCGGGCCATGATAACGAAAAAGTGAATAAATCCATTTGCTAAATTAAGGAAAAAAAATCTTCTAACACGTGGTGTAGCCAGAATTCCTGTTTTGCCTACATGTCCTATATGTGAACAACACTAGCAGCTAAACTACGCGTAAGATTGGTTCCAAACTGAATAAACCCCTGTCGATTTGGCCTGCGTCGTACGAATTTGGAAAACATTCAATACTTTACATGAAGCCCCACGGACATTTTCAAAATTTTCTCAAAAACGGCTCAAAATGTTTTCTTTAAATTTCTCATTTCAAAAAATGCACTTATAAAGGTGGCATAGGACAAATTTTCACGGTCAACTCTGACTCCGAAAATTTCAAAAGTATATTTTTTTTTGGCCTCTTGACACCTACAAAACTTTTTTGACAACTACAGAAGTGAAGATAGAGGTTTTCCCTTCAAATGAAATTTATTCTGCATAGTAAGTTTTTTCATTAAGGTCACGTCATTTTTTGAAATTTGTATATGTTTTCGCATAACTTTGCGTGTAATATTTGCAATTTAAAAAAATACAAAATCAAGATTTTTTTTCCCTCCTTCGGTTCACTTGTTTCATTGTTATTCGCGTTCTTCGTTGTCGCATCGCAACTATAAACCTCAATCGTCTTTTGTCCCCTATCAGCAATGCCCCATATTAATTATCTGCTTTATTTTCGGAAAAAATTATCGAATTGTCCAAAATTTACTTCCCCCATTTAATTTTTGGGTTTTCTGACACCTTACATTCTCAATGTTTCAGTTTCATTTGCGTCATCGCCCAATTCCTTTCATTTCGCAAGCTATTTGACATTAAAGTTTTGTTTACAAATGCCAAAAATTTCATTAAGTATTTTGCTTTGCCTCAATATTCTTAATAAATAAATAAATTTACTCTTAAACCTCTGGAAATTCGCCTGTAGTCGACAAAATCAAATACAGAGGATCCCTAAACTGGCACGTGAGGTGTCTGAGGTACAGAGGACCTGACCAAAGTTGGTCAAAATACTTGAAAAAAGTATTTCAGATATAAAATACAAAATATTTCGTCGAAAGTATTTTATATACAAAAAATAAAATAGTATTTCAAAATACTTATGAAAATTAAAAATACAACCAATAGTGATCCATTTTCACCATTTATTTTTCAAAACTTAGTCGTGGTTTACAATTGTGTACTATTGAACACGTATTCCTTCAACAATACTAGTTTTTCAAACATTTTATCTCTAATGCTTCTTGTAATTGTAATTGATAAGGATATCATTCCATTAACATAGAATTTTGTAATAAGATCATTTGTTTCATCGTTATCTATTCCTGCATATTGAAAAAAACGAGGTGGCAAGCTTGTTTGTTTTAAATTCAAGTTGAATTCTCTAAAATGTGTAAAGAAATTATCAGTTTCGTTGTAAAAAGAATGAGCAGTTAAATTCATAATATTAAGAAACTAGTGGTGCT